ATTCTGACTCATAGCACCTTGCATAAGGTTTCTTCACAGGCACAAATAATCTCATCTTTCCCCCTCAGTGCAGGTAGTGGCTTTGAACCACTGACTTTGCAGTTAGCAGTCCAGTGCTTACCCACAGGGCCACCAGGTCTCCTTTTCTACCGTACGCACCGGTTGACCTCCTACAGGAGAATGTGCTGGCTAGGAGCACACGTGCATGAGGTGTGAATGGTACAGGTCTTGTCTTGGTGATCAGAGAGGGATCCTGAACTCCATCTACGGTCATCAGAAGTGACAGACTCGGTGTTGAATTTCCTTGAGAAGTTGAAACCCTGGATTTTGGTGGGTTTTTTTCTAATTTTAAAATACAGGACCGATGGAAAAACCAAACCTTTGGGAGCTAGGAAGCGGGACATTGAGCTACTAGTTTGCAGCCTCTGGAGTACAGCATATAACCAAGATAGCACAGCACAAGGACCACTGCTGTAGCGCCTTCTCTTGTTCCTCTTCCACCCCACACTGTATCTAGGCAAGATTCCTAACTTACTTGGGCGCCCAGGTGATGCAGTGGTTTAAGTGTTGGGCAGCTGACCACAGGGTCAGCAACTCAAACCCACCAGCCACTCTGAGGGAGGAAGATGAGGCTGTCAGGACTGCCGCAGCTGAGGAATTGGAGGTGTGTGTGGTGCACTTTGCTCTGCCGGTGCCTCAGAGAAGGTTATTGGCTTTGACACAGTGTCTGACTGAAACTCCGTGTCCGCTTACATCTCACTGAGGATAAAAAGCAAAGGCTGCTTTGTTACTCACTGAACTAATCACTTGCACACATGTAACTGAGCCTGTCTTTTTGTTGGATTTTGACATTTCAAGCAGTGGTGTGTAATTGTGGAAGGCAGGTGCATGGCAGCATCTCTGTGTGTGGGTCTCTTGGAGTGCCCAAATGAGCTTGCTTCTCTGACCCTTTGTCCATTTGGTTTGGCAGAATCGCCCCTGCGATGTTGCGCCAGGCTTCCTATGGCACCATCAAGATAGGCACGTACCAGAGCCTGAAGCGAATGTTTGTTGAACGGCCAGAAGGTGAGTCGGGGGCCCTTCGGGGGACAGGAGGAGGGGTGTTCAACCTTTTATCCAAGAGGCTTGGAAACAGGCTTTTTTCAGTTTTATTCATGACCACACTGCTGCTTGAGGAGAACGTGGGGTGTAAAGTCTGAAGTGAATGCTGCTGAAGGCAGGAGGACTCGCGATGACTGCATTTTGGGCACCGGCAGTCAGGACAGCGAGGAGCAGTCTGCATGAGTTTCCTCCGAAATAACGAGGCTGCAGCTCTGTCTGACTGAAATGCCTCTAGAGTCACAGGAATTATTGCCCATTTTCCAGGAAAGCAATGAGTACACTTCTCCTAGAATTAATAACTCTGTTCTAATGCTCTCTGGTGGGCTGGTTCGGGGATTATTTTAAGCCATAGAACTCTGTGTCTCTTTTTCACAATGGAATGGACACTGCCAGTGAGAGAGGCGAGTCGGAGCCAGGGTGTGCCAAGTGCACTTGAATAGCGTTTACTGTATTTTTTGTTTTACCTTCTTTTTGAAACAGACATGAAGTGCTTTAAAATGTCCTATGTTATGGAAAAGTTTAGCTTTTTCCCCCTCCTAACAAAGAGGCCTCATGTTGATAGGATGGCCTGAATTCACACACAAAAGTAACAGATAGATGATTATTCACTTTGTACGGTCTTCCACATGGCTTTATAGATAGCAAGAAACATTGCTACATCAGACTAGAGGGTTGACAGGAGTTCACTTTGGTGAAAGGGAGGATGGAGGTCCACAGGAGGGCAGAGGTAAGAGAGGGGCGTGAGGAGAGAGACGGGGCTTTCTAGGTCCTGTAACAGTTCCGGTCTTGGAAGCTCCTGGGGGCAGTTCTTGCCTGTCCTATGGAGTGGCTATGAGTCTGCATCTATCTACTCGGTGGCAGAGTTTTGGAGGGGGTGCGTTAGAGCCTTGGGGGGTGACAGTGAGGGGGGTGATGAGTGGTTTGAACTGTTAGATACAGAGGTGATGGTCTGAAATGACAACATGCCATTCCACTCACAATTGTAAAAATCATTTCAAAGAGGAAGAAAGGTGGCTAAACAAAATCTCTCTAGTCAGCAAAGTTCCTTTTATGATTACTTGATTCATAAAGTGTTCCTTTCTTTATTATCTTTTTTTTTTCTTAGAACCAGTATTTATTTATTTTTTTTATACTTCTGGGAATGCTTTCATATTTGCTTCCAAGTACTTTTCATACAATCCACTGGTTTCAGAATGCCAGCAGTTTATCTCCTGAACCTTCAAAGTATCTTTTTTTAAAAAAATTATTTTATTGGGGGCTCATACAATTCTTATCACAATCCATCCATCCATCCATTGTGTCAAGCACATATGTACATTTGTTGCCCTCATCGTTCTCAAAACATTTGCCTTCTACTTTAGCCCTTAATATCAGTTGCTCATTTTCTTTATTATCTTTAAGGTGAACAAATAGTATGTAAATTTATAACACTTTGGGGTTGCCTATGAGAGCTCTGTAAATGCCAGAGAGCAGATAATGTGGTCTGTGTCTTTGCGTACAGATGAAACCCTACTGATAAACGTTACATGTGGAATTCTCTCTGGAGTCATATCCTCAGCCATTGCCAATCCAACTGATGTTTTGAAAGTAAGTCACGTGCCACATTTTTAACGTGTGGGATCATCATGAGTTGGAATTGACTTGATGCCTATAGGCTTGGTTGCGTTTGTGTGTGTGTGGATCTGCTTATACTTGTGCTCTGGCTGGCATCTAACGACAACACCCATATTATATCTATGTGTAGACAGCCACATTGAGCCTTTTTTTATCATGGCAAAAAACCTGGAAATGACTTAAGTATCCACTGATAGAATATTAATTATATTGTAACTTAAGAAAAGGGGAGGGGCCTGATGGCGGAGTGGTGACGCATTGGGCTGCTAACCGCCAGGTCAGCAGTTCAAAACCACCAGCTGCTTTGTGGGAGAGCGGCAGGCTACACTCTCAGTCATAGAAACTCTGGAGGGGGCAGTTCTACCCAGTCCCACAGGCTGACTGTGAGTCTGCATCGGCCACGTGGCTGAGTTTGGTTTTGGAGAGAAGTAGCTCAGAACTGAGAGTGCACATGCTCAGTGCAGCCAATGACACCGAGGGCTGCTATTAATGAAATTTCTAGAATCGCCAACATTTCTGTGTCCTGTGTAGTAACCCACAAGGAGATACACTCTCTTTGACAGCTAATTAATTTACCTCAAGGCTTTCTGGAGGCCCCAGAGTTACGGAGAGCCAGTCCTTACCCAGGACTAGTGTCACAGATAAACAAGAGGCGGGGTGGCTTTCAGAGGTGTGCTCTAGGGGGCAAGCATGCATTTCCTCCTGTGTGGCTCTAGATTCGGATGCAAGCCCAGAGCAGCACCATCCAAGGAGGAATGGTGGACAACTTCATGAACATCTACCAGCAAGAGGGCACCCGGGGCCTGTGGAAGGTGAGCGAGCGATGAGTCAGCTGACTCGCTGGGATCTTACTCTTTCTGCCTTTTACTTTTCCTATTCTCTCATCACTGTCTCTCTCTATTCCCGTGGCACGTGGAGTAAGGGAAGTGATGTTGTCTGCTCTTGAAGGCAATAGGAAAAGAGGAGGGAACAGGTGGATGCACCCTGGGGTACTGTCACTGTTTTGATGAGGGGGCTGTGCAACTGCATATAGTATGTATATAGTACATACACATATATAGCTCACATAGAGCGTATGTGTTACATTCTGCAAATACGAGGGGAAATTAATAAAATTTAAAGAGAGAGGGTTACAGCCTTAAAACCCTCCAGATTCCTTACTGAAACACTGGTCAGAGTGGTTATAAAAGGGGGAAAAGCACAATGGAAAGGGACTTAACATCTTTTGTGACAAACCAGCTAGTTTCAAACAAAGAAAAGTTGTCCTGTCCTTAATTACCTTGTCTGTAAAATGGAAGTGATTGTCAACTGCCCTTTCAGGAGTCAGTTGATGTCTAGGAAATTCTGTGAAGGCCAAGTATTTTATCTTGTTGCTTGGCTTTTTTTCCCCTTTTGAAAATTGTCATGGGAGAGGCGTCTGGGCAGGCCGTGGCTAGACTGGGGGTTAAAATCCCTGGTGTCCTGACCGTTCAGTGACACTTGTCTTACTGGACAAGCCCTGGGATGGGGGGGCCACGTCTTAGTATCCTACTGACTCAGCCCTTCACCAGACAAACCCTAAAGGTCACCCACTGCAGTCCTTTCCATATGTAAAAGGACACCGGGCCTCTGAGCGTGACCTGCCCTGGCCAGGTCACATTGTTCCTTCCAGAACCAGAATTAGACTCAGGAGCTCTGGCTTTTAGCCCAATGGTCGTTTCCACTATTTTGATCCACTTCTCTCACCCACCAGCAGAAAGCCAGGTAAATGGTTACAGGTTGGTGGATTCGAACTTTTGTAGTTTAGCGAGTTTTGTTCTGTGGAGAGTAATGCCTGAGTGTTGGAATCACCTGTGTTGTTAATGTTTCCCAGGGCGTGTCCCTCACTGCTCAGAGGGCGGCTATTGTTGTCGGCGTGGAGCTGCCAGTCTATGACATCACCAAAAAGCACCTGATCCTCTCTGGCCTGATGGGCGACACTGTGTATACCCACTTCCTGTAGGTCCATGGTTGGTTAAAAATCACTGTTTCATATATGAACGAAGTTAACTGGAAAGTGTTGTGAAAGTGTTATATTGTCATATTTGAAAATACAGAAGTGTACCAGAAAGGTAGACTTTTACAAAAAAGTGAAAGTACACAGTACACAGATACCCATTGCTAATAGTTTGATTTGCACCTTCTGGGCATTTTCTGTGCAGCTACAAACATGTGCCTATAAAGTTCTACTACATGTACTTTATTACACAAATGAGATCATGCTTTGCATTTTCTTTTTAAAACGTAATAGTACAGTCTAGGTACTTTTTCATGCCGTTATCTATATAGATCAAAGGAGCCCTGGCAGTGCTGTGGGTTCGTATTGGGTTGCTAATTACAAGGTTGCTAGTTCAAAACCACCAGCCACTCTGCAGGGAGAAGATGAGGCTTTTTGACCCTGTAAACATTTACAGCCTTGGAAACCCTAAGTGGGGTCTGATGAGTTGGAATCGACTTGATGGCAATGGGATGGCAGGAGATAATTGTCCTCCAGGACATAGGACAAGGTCTGGAGACCATTTTGATTGTCACAACTTGGGAAGTTCCTACTGGCTTCTAGTCGTAGAGGCCATCCTGTGTGCAGTATACAGGTCCACCCTTCACAACAGAGACTTGGAAGGCCCAAGATGTCAGTCATGCCAAGGTTGAGAAGCCTTGTCCTGAGGTGTTTGGTGTACCGAGTGTGGTCTATGGCAGCCCTGTGAGATGGGTAGTTTAGTCCCGGGGGGTGGGGTGGGGTGGGGGTGCATTACAGTGATGGATGACTATGTCTGATCCTTAAAAATAATGTCCTTATGGTATAGCTAGAGTTCGTCTAATGCCTAAAAACAGAAGCCGGAGCCGCTGCTGTATTGCAGGGTGGCCCTGGGCAGAGTAACACTGCTCAGCGGGGTTTTCTC